ATTTGCATTTCCCTGATGATAAGTGATGTGGAGCATCTTTTCATGTATCTGTTGGCTATCTGAATTTCTTCTTTGGAGAACTGTCTCTTCATATCCTCTACACATTTGTTAATCAGGTTATTTGCTTTTTGGGTGTTGAGACATGTAAGTTCTTTATATATTTTGGATGTTAACCCCTTGTTAGATTTGTCATTTACAAATATATTCTCCCATACTGTAGGATGCCTTTTTGTTCTGTTCATGGTTTCCTTTGCCATACAGAAACTTTTTAGTTTGATGTAGTCCCATGAGTTCATTTTTGCTTTTGTTTCCCTTTCTTGAGGAGATGCGTTCAGGAAGAAGTTGCTCATGCTTATATTCAGGAGATTTTTGCCTATGTTGTCTTCTAAGAGTTTTATGGTTTGAATTGTTTCTGTATCTTGGTGATTGTGAATAATTTTGCTTTAAATATGGAAGTACATATATCACATCAAAATTCTGTTTTCATTGCCTTTGGGTAAATACTCAGAAGTGGAATTACTGGATCGTATGGTAGATCTATTTTTAATTTCTTGAGGAACCTCCATATTGTTTTCTATAGTGAGAATTAGAGGATATTTAAAAACCACCACAGTCCTTTTTCTTGACAACTACATTTGTGTGCTTACTGGTCTTAATGTCATGACTTGCTTCTTGCCATAGGTTTTAGGGGCATGAATACTTTAAACATACTTCTAAACAAGAGCAGACTCTTACATTCTGATAGTCATAGATTTAACTTGTAGATATTTTTCCTTGAAGATAGGTGCTCTGTTTTAGATATTATACCTTATTTTATGTTTTTTCTTCCAAGAAAGATTTAAAAATGTGTGTGCTATGACTACTAGATAGTTGGTAAGTGAATGAATGAATGAATCTTAAAACAAAATAAAAAAACCCAAAACCAGAAAATACCCTTCTTTGTCACCAGGTGGTGCCAGAATCCATTTTACAAAATCTTTTGGCAATATAGTTGGACCTTTGCTCAAATAGGTTTATAACAGTAGTGTTCCACAGTTATAAACTCACTTATTTAAATAGCAGAAATTGAGCTTAAGGAAGATTGACTAACAACTGCATTTTATTTTTTAAGATTAATTTAGCTTTTATCAATTCTTTCTGAATCCAAGTGACAGTAACAAGCATTTAGATGTTTTGTTGTTATCTGCTTGGCTGACTTGGAGTATAAATACCCTGACTATTTATTAGTGGCAAGTTCTCTACTTTCTGTTTCAGTTACAGTTACCCTTTTCAAGTCATTTTGGAATTTTTCAGTTCAGTAGAGGGAGTTCACCTTTTCTTAATAAAATTTTAATACATATTTTATATATACAAAGTTAAATATATCCTGCACATGTAAGTTACAAACTCTTATGAGCCTATGATCCAGTAAGAACTAGAACAATACCAAAGCCATTGAAACTGACTGTGGGATCCTCCCTGAACCTATTTTTTACCTTCTTTTAGGGTGTAATCTCCATCCTGAATTTCTACCATTCCTATACTTTTTCTGTTATAGTTTCCAAGGCTTATGTACTTACACAGCAGACATAACATTTTATTTAGTTTTGCTTATTTTTGAGCTCTATTAAATATGTAATTATAATTTAATCTGTGATTAGATCATATCATATCTCTTCTGTGAATTCCTTTTTTCATTTAATATTGCTTCCTAAGATTTATCCATGTTGCTGCCAGTAGCAAGAGTATAACTCACTTTCATTGCTGTATCATACTCCATTTTGAAAACATGTCACAATTTGTTCCTTCTCCCATGAGTGAACATTTGGGTTGTTTCTAGTTTGCTGCTAATATGAACAAGTCCTGTGAAAACTGTTGTACATGTCTCCCGGTTTGCATGTTACAGGCATTTTTCAGGCATTTTTCAAAGGCAGGGCTTGGCAAACTACTTCCCAGCGGTCAAATCCAGCTCCATGCCTGTGTTTGTAAGTGGCGTTTTCTTGTTGCACAGCTACGCTCATTTGTTTTTATCCATCTATCTATATATTTGTCTTTGGTTGTTTTTGTGATAAAAGGCAGAGTTGAGTTAGTTGTGACAGAGACCTTCAGGGTCTGCAAAGCCTAAAATATTTATTATCTGGCTCTTATCTAGGTTATCTACCTTGGAGTTAAATTCTGGTGATAGGTATGTGCATGTTGTAATTTTACAGAATCAGGACAGGTTATTTTCCAGAGCAGTTGTGTCTGCTTACATTCCTACCAGTGATAAGCAGCAATTCTTCTTGCTCCACATCTTCTTGTCTTATTAAGCAAGGAGGTATTAACAGACTTGTGATCTTAGTTTTCACTT